TACACTGTTGATGGGAATGTAAAATGGTACACCCACTTTGGAAATCTATTTGGCGCTTCCTTAAAAACCTAGAAATAGAAGTACCATACGATCCAGCTATCCCTCCCCTTGGAATATATCCTAGAGAAATTAGAGCCGTCACACGAATAGATATATGCACACCCATGTTCACTGCAGCACTGTTCATGATAGCAAAAAGATGGGAACAACCTAGGTGCCCATCAACGGAGGAATGGATAAACAAATTATGGTATATCCACACAATGGAATACTACGCAACAATAAAGAACAACAGTGAATCTGTGAAACATCTATAAGATGGAGGAATCTGGAGGGCATTATGTTGATTGAATTTAGTCATTCACAAAAGGACAAATATTGTATAAGACCACTATTGTAAGAACTCAAGAAAAGGTTTAAACACAGAAGAAAACATTCTTTGATGGTTACCAGTTAGAGGGTTATTCAGTAACTAGATAGTAGATAAGAATTATCTTAGGTGAAGGGAAGGACAGCACACACTACAGGGGAAGTCAGCACAATTGGACTAAACTAAAGCTAAGAAGTTTCCTGAATACAACCAAACACTTCGAGGGACAGAGTAGCAAGGGTAGGGGTCTGGGAACCATGCTTTCAGGGGACATCTATGTCAATTGGCATAACAAAGTTTATTAAGAAAATGTTCTGAATCCTACTTTGGTGAGTGGCATCTGGGGTCTTAAAAGCTAGTGAGCGGCCATCTAAGATGCAGCAATTGGTCCCAACCCACCTGGAGTAAAGGAGAATGAAGAACACTAAAGTCACAAGGAAAGTATTAGCCCAAGAGACAGAAAGGGCCATGTAAACCGGAGACCAGAAGAATTAGAAGAATTAGATGGTGCCCAGCTACCACCAATGACTGCCCTGACAGGGAACACAACAGAGAGTCCCTGATGGAGCAGGAGAAAAGTAGGGTGCAGAACCTAAATTCTAGTAAAAAGACCAGACTTAATGGTCTGACTGAGACTGGAGGAACCCCAGAAAGCATAGACCCTGGACTATCATCCCAGCACTGAAACCAGTCCTGAGGCTAACTGTTCAAAGATTGGACTGGACTATGGGACATAAAATGATACTTGTGAAGAGTGTGCTTCTTAGCTCAAGTAGATACATGAGACTAAATGGGCAACTCCTGTCCGGAGGTGAGATGAGAAAGCAGAGAGGTTCAGGAGCTGGTTGAATGGACACGGGAAATCAGGGGTGGAAAGGAGGAATGTGTTGTCACAGTATAGGGAAAGCAATTAGGGTCACATAACAATGTGTGTATAAATTTTTGAATGAGATACTGACTCGAATTGTAAACTTTCACTTAAAGTACAACAATAAAATTGAAAACAAAATCGATAAACAAGTGTGTCTCACATATCTGGAGGATAGAAGTGCAAAATGAAGGTGTTAGCCAGACCATGAGCTCTCCAAAGGCTCCAGGGAAAGATCTAGCTTCTGGTGGTTCTTGGCAATCCTTGGCTTATGGCTGTATCACTCCAACGTCTACCTCTGTATTCACATGGCCGTCTTCCCTCTGTGTCTTTTCTCTTTTTATTTATTTATTCTGCTTTAGGTGAAAGTTTACAGCTCAAGTTAATTTCTCATTCAAAAGTTTGTACACATTGTTTTGTGACATTGGTTGCAATCCCCACATGACAGCATGCTCCCCCTTTCCAGCCCGGGTTCCCTGTGCCCATTTTTCCAGTTCCTGTTCCTTCTTGCCTTCTCGTCCTGCTTTTGGACAAGAGTTACCCATTTGGTCTCGTATATTTGATTGAACTAAGAAGCATGTTCCTCATGTGGGTTGTTTTTTGTTTTATAGGTCTGCCTAATCTTTGTCTCAAAAGTGGGCTTTGGAATTGGTTTCAGTTCTGGGTTAGCAGAGTGTCCAAGGGCCATAGTTTTGGGGGTTCCTCCAGTCCCTGTCAAACCAGTAGGTCTGGTCTTTTTTCGTGAATTTGAATTCTGTTCTACATTTTTCTCCTGCTCTTACAATTCTCTGTTGTGATCCCTGTCAGAGCGGTTGTTGGTGGTAGCCAGGCACCATCTAGTTCTTCTGGTCTCAGGCTAATGGACTTTGGTTCATATGATTCTTTAGTCCTTTGGGCTAATATTTTCCTTGTGTCTTTGGTTCTTCTCTTTTTAAAAGGACACCAGTCATATTGAATGAGGACCCACTCTCCTCCTGTATTACCTCACGTTAATTTAACTGATTACTTCTTCAAGGACCCTATTTCCAAATAAGGTCACATTTACAGGAAACAGGCATTAGGACTTCAACATATCTTTTTGGAGGACACAATTCAACCCATAGCACTGATGTACAAGTTTGGGTTTTGAGTTGCTGCGTTACTGTGTCAAATGGAAAAATTAATAACAGGTATCTTACTTCGATTTTGAGGTTTTCTTACACAGGAAACCAAATATTCACTGTAAAGAAATTCCTGACAAAAATTAATCCTGCTAGGCTTACTAAGGAGCCCTGGTGGCCCAGCAGTTAAGAGCTCGGCTGCTAACCGAAAGGTTGGCAGTTCGAATCCACCAGCTGCTTCTTGGTGCCCCTGTGAGGCAGTTCTTCTCTGTCTTACAGGGTCGCTATGAGTGGGAATCTACTTGAAGGCAATGGTTTTTAGGCGTATTAAATTTAAATTTCAAAAGATATGGCTGATACCAGTTGATCTCAGTAAAAAGGGGGGGGGGCAGGGTTCAGTCAATCACATTAAGATTAGCCAATGGTTGATCTGTATTTCTCCCTCCTCTTCTCTTTATAGGGGAGCACTAGTGGCACAATGGTTAAGTGCTTCACTGCTCACCAATTCAAACCCACCAGCTGCTCCATGGGAGAAAGATGTGGCAGTCTACCTTCCGTAAAGATTACAGCCTTGAGAACTCTATGGGTCAGTTCTGTTCTGCCCCGTAGGGTTGCTATAAGTCAGAATTGGCTCCACAGCAATTTGTTTCTTCACTTTATAGCCTTGGACAACCTGGTGGCATGGTGGTTTAGAGCTATGGCTGCTAACCAAAAGGTCGGCAGTTCAAATTCACCAGGCACTTCTTGGAAACCCTATGGGGCAGTTCTACTCTGTCCTACAGGGTCACTATGAGTCAGAATCGACTTGACGGCAATGGGTTTGGTTTGGTTTCTAAGCCTCATTGTACCTAACTTATTTGAGCTATTTTCTTTTTCTGGAATCAAAATGGTCTTCCTATACGCATATAGAATAACTGCTCAGAATAAACCTCATATTCAAATTTTGTTGAGTTCTGATTATTTTTAACAACCAAAAGGGGCAGTGTCAACCTAGTGGTTGAGAACACAGTATTTGAAATCAGAATTGGTTCAAATCCTGGTTCTGCCACTTACTAACTGTGGGTTTTGAAGTAAATTGCTTAACTTTGTGCCTCAGTTTCCTAGTCTATAAAGAGGGAGAATAATGATAGCTTTCTGAAGACAAGCACTATTGCTAGCTTGGCAGCAAATTAAGTATGAGAGTATGGGATATTATTTAAGGCCCAAGTAATCCCACATAGCTACAGAAATTCTCACCAAGTGGTGTAGTGGGATGCTGGCATCCCCTAGGTGTCCACCCAAAGTAGTGGATGCACACGAGGGACTTGTATGGAACAGCAGGAAGCAGGGAACTAGATTTACGTGGCGAAGCAGCTCTTCAAATTTTAGTGTCAAGAGAAAAACAAACAAACCCGTTGCCCTCCAGTCGATTCGGGCTCATAGCGACCCTATAGGACAGAGCAGAACTGCCCCATAAGGTTTCCTAGGAGCAGCTGGTGGATTGGAACTGCCGACCTTTTGGTGAGCAGCGAAGCTCTTAACCACTGCACCACCAGGGCTCCGTACCACCTGAAATTCAAAAACAACACAATGCACAAACTAAGGGGCTTTCTGCCATTGACGTGAACGTTCCTGCTGGAATCAGCAGGTGGCAGTAACTTGGGAATAGCAGCAGGACTTGCATTCCTAACGGAAAAGCACCCTCCTTCCGCTTCTCCCTTCTCCTCCCCTCCCCTTCCCTCCCCTCCAGCCCCCCGC